CGGCGGCTGCCAAGTGTCCGGAGGCACCGCAGCCATGCTTCCTTCGTCTGCCGCTGGGGGAATCAAATTCCCGCGCCACACTTCCGGTGTCACCGACTACGTCTTCCCCTCGCAAGAGAACGCCGAAAAGGGGGGCGTTACTGATTGGGAGTCCGCGTGCCTTGGGCCAATCGCTATAAAGGAATGCCGAACTCTTATTGTGACGAAGTCAAAAGGGGGAAATTCGAATTTGCTTCTCCTTTTTTGCCTCTTTGTAGCAGCGGAGGAGCTTTGCGGTGAGAGAGTGGGGGTGATGGTAACGCTGGAGGCGGGGATGGATTGCATGTTGCATGGAGGGATGGATAGATTTTTCGCACGAAAGGGGCAAAATGAAGCCGCACTTCGTAGGATTTAGGTGTGGTTAAGAACCAAATGGGCGCGTCTAAAACATTGAATGGAGGCTCTATTTGCACCTTGCTTTTGTTTGCAAATGAAACACCCGTCTTTAGCTCTTTTACTCAGGAGCTAAAAGTTGTAATGCTGAACATATCAGGGAATCTCTCTCTCTCTCTCTCTCTCTCTCTCTCTCTCTCTCTCTCACACACACACACACACACACACACACACACACACAGACAGACAGAGAGCCTTCCTTCCCTGAGCAGAGTGAGATTTTCCTCCGAGCAAAGTAAAACTGCGTCCTGCTGCCTTCCTCCCTGTTAGAGTTGCCCTTGATTCTTGTAAGCTGTTTTCTTTTTATCGGGTAAGGCATAGGAGGTCTCCGTTTCTTCTAAGAAGTATATGCATATTATTCAGAATAACTGCAATTTACTTAGCCAGTCAGAGGATGGTCAGACTCAAAGGACTTCACTCCCAATCTTGGGATACACGAAAAAGCATAACAAATCAAACGGACATGCATATAGATCCAACCTTCAGGGACCACTAAATTCATAATCTTATATCCTGTGGACCACTAATATGAATTTTTAAAACGATAAATAATATTTAGTGCAATATAAAACATGCAAATAATTTTTCTGTGGACCACCAAAATTTTCTCAAGGAGCACCAGTGGTCCACTGGCCACCAGTTGGTGATATGGATGGTTTCATTCTTGCCTGAAATAAACTGTGGCCAGGGCTACGCTGTTTGGAAGCTCACTGGTTCTCCTGAGTTCACAAAAGGTGCTCCGAGGTGCTTCGAGGTGGCAACATCGTTATTGTCAGTGTTCTTTTGAATAGTCAAGAGTAAGGAACGTTGATTCTTATCCCTAAATTGAGGAGAAAAGCTGCATAATTTTGCAGAAGTTGCAACACTTGTAAGCACAGCATTCCAAAGTCTTTTGATTCAAGTTCTTTGGTCCCACTTTCTGCCTGCATTTGTTAGATACTGTGTTAATAATGTAATGAAACAGTTCTGCAATTTGTAACAATTTTAAGAGCAGGAAGTTTCTAACATTTAATGTAACCACATCCATCCCTAAATGCCCATTCAAAGTACAGAATAAGAACTAGTAAGCAAAAAAAGAAAAAAGGCAAGAGAGAAAGTAAAAGATACTGTAACTAAATTAGTTTATCAACACCATTTTATTCTCCACACTTCTATCCCTGCAAATGTTCTTGCCTATGCAGTGCTTTTTGTTCTTAAATTTCTCCCCTCTTTTTTTTTTTTTTTTTGAGGAGTTCATCTATTCCATCCAACCTCTTGGACTTCTCTTCCACTTACTCACTTGCTTTTCCCTTACTGCATATATTTTGTCTGTAGTTCAGTCTTCATTATATCACAGAATCACTCCAGTATATTTCGTACAATTCATTTAATATTTGCTGAAAATCATTGGTGTTTTTAATCAATAACACAGGAGCTACATACAAAAATACACAGCCATTTCTATTCATAATCAATCTGCCTCTAATATTGTCACAAGTATTATACATATATTTAAGTACATTAAATAACCAAAAGGAACTTATTATCTGCTCATTAGGGAACAATTTGCTAAGTATTCTGTTCATTCTCATGCACATTTTATTTCCACGTGTCACTCTGAACACATTCAGCAACCATCTTTCAATTCCATTTCCACAAAATATGATCCACTGTTCTAGGCAATTTGCTTCATTGTGTACTTACACATTAAAAACTCTACAATAAATCATCTTTGTCACACTCATACATTTCTCAGTGAATTGCTGAAAAGTAAGATCTAATCTGGTCAACCCCTGCCTTGTGTAAAGCTGCCCTGCATTTCTCAGATTCCTCATCCTGACATAATAACTTCTATCCTTTCAAGGAAAATTCTGCCAAACACTTTCCCAGGGATACTTAATAAACTAAACTCACTCTTACTACCTTTCACTTTCATTCTTTCAAAGATAGGCACAGATGCAGGTCTTTTGCGTACAAATGAACAAGTAGTAAGTAACAAGTAACAGTTACTTCATAAGCAAATCACGTCCATAGTTTAACTTTTCTACATTTTTCAACATTCTTATAGTATTTATTTTTGTCTATTTTGGGGGGAGGGACTACTAGGGGACGCAGTGGCTCAGTGGCTAAGATGCTGAGCTTGTCGATCAGATAGGTCAGCAGTTCAGCAGTTTGAATCCCTAGTGCCGCATAACAAATGAGCTCCCATTACTTGTCCCAGCTTCTGCCAACCTAGCAGTTCGAAAGCATGTAAAAATGCAAGTAGAACAATAGAATCCCTTTGGTGGGAAGGTAACAATGTTCCATCCACATGACCATTTAGTCATGCCGGCCACATGACCACGGAGAGGTCTTCCGACAGCACTGGCTCTTTGGCTTTGAAATGGAGATGAGCACCGCCCCCTAGAGTTGGGAATGACTAGCACATAGGTGTGAGGGGAACCTTTACCTTTACCTCTGGACTACTAACATTTACAGCATTTACTTCACGTGTTTCTATCATGCCCAAACAGATCTCTAAAATATACCTTTCAGTATTACTTCACTTCAGTTTCATCCCAGAGCATTTCATACCCAATTCTAAAACTCTTTCATTCAAATATCTCTGCAATTGCTAATCTAAACTGGTTCTTGCTCTCTCTGATTATATTCCTAGTCATTGTGGTTTTTATATTCAAATTATAGAGTATTTTTAATTCTAACTTTGTAAAGCACTCTTTTGTATGTATTTTTTCTCATCCACAGTTTTTTTCACCATATTTCACCAAGCAGCTTTTTAAAATCTGCTGTTAGTGAGATTTCTGTAACTTCTGTAGCATTTGTTCAGTTGGCCTTTTCCAAAATCCAACTTTGCCGAATATAATGTTATCAATAACAACTATTGTATAATTAACACACATACATTATTTTATGGATTTCAATTTTTTAAAATAAAATAGTAGGTTTAAAGTTGCTATTAAATTAGTAAACAAGATGGTTTTGTATGATCAAACCAGGATTAAACTTTCATATAAAAACTGTTTGTCTGAAAACCTGGAATGTCAATGACAGTAATCTGAAGATAACAGCTTTCTACGTTCCGATCGAGTTATTTTTCTAATATGTAAAAATAGCAGAACACATGTCCCTTAACATTCAAGATGTATTTAACTGTTATCTTCCCACTTCAGTTATTTAGTAGTATCCTGAGATGATTGCTAGAAAGCATGGAGTCATCAAAGGGTGAGTACAGAAAGTCAGTGTTTATGCATTTAAATATATGCATGAAATTGTTCCACACCATATCCAAAGTCATTTGGACTAGAAGCATTACAACTTGTTGCTAAAATTTTATAACATCAGTCTTCCTTGTAAAAGTCCCCTTTCAGGATGGTGTAGAAACTTTTTAACACCGTAATACTTGGTGTGAAGCTTTCTGCATGATATTATGAAGAATTATAAGTTTATTCAGGTAGATTTCATTTGGTGTAAATATACCTAACTATACATAATTGTCTTGGTCAGGTTTCTCCATAACATGTATGATTCTCAGAACATATTAAAGTTATTAGTAGCAGAATAATGAATAGAAAGATGACCTTAACTCTGTTTTGCCACTAATTTTCCATGTGTTTCGGGGTACAAGAATTGATATCTTTTGTTTCCATGGAGTTTATAAGGACTTTAAGTAGCTTTTTCTTGAGAATATTCTTCCCAAGTACAAATAATCTCTCTCTTGCTCTCTCCTTGCTTAGAACTGTTAAGAGGCCTAGGTAATATTTGTGGTGATGATAAAGGTTAAATATCTATGTTTATACTTCCAATGATTATGATTTCTTATTTTTCAGATATAAAATTTATTATTGATGAGACACTAGATTTTGATCCATTTTCTCCATTGGATTGGTAAGACTGATAAATCATTACTGACAATTCATAGAAACTATCACATGAGTAAATGGCAAATGTGTGAAGATGATAAGCAAGTATCTTCACAACCACTGTGTTGGTATTTTTTAATTAAACATGGGATTAGTTACTTTAGGGGCCATGAACTCGACCCGGATCAACTGATAACTTCTAAGGATATTCCAATAATTTCCTTGATCCTGCTCATTCAATTTTTCCATTACCTTTCCATTCTTCTATTTCCATTAATCTTGTCATGCACAATAGTTTTTTCTATGTCATCATCCATTTGCAATACATATTCAAATTTGTCTATGTAATATATGAGTTTCTAATTGGTGATCAGAATTTTAAAGGAGTCTTTATTTTGTCCAGTTGTTTTTTTAGAGTAGGTGGCACTACTCTATCAAATCCTTTCTCTTGATCTATTACAATATCTAACTTCCATATCTGTATGTTATCACTTGGGGAGGGGATTGTCTTAACTCTTGTCACAGAAAATATCTTTAATTTTCACATCTTGTCTAAATTTGTCATTGTTTTCATTGCTAAGATTACTGTATTTTTGTTAACTCATGTTAAACACCCTCCATGCCTGTCAAAAGACAAAACTATCAATCTCCTTCATTTCTTTGATTCTACCTGTGAATTCAGGATTTGTGGTTTGTCATCTTAATATTTTTCACTTTTTTATGAGATCTTTTTCCCCCACTAAATTAAATATACTAAATTTGTTCCTCAATTGTCTTATATTCTTACTGTATATTCTCTAGGTCAAATCAGTGGGTTCTACAAACTGTACCTGAAAATGCCCTAGTGAATTAGAGTGTATATCTCCATTTTCTGAATTTTATTATGAAAGATTTGATTTGGATGTTGTCCGTTCAGTGATGTCCAGATGTGATCTGCCTTTACATTGCTTGAAACAAATGTTGATAATGAAGACAGATGTTTCTTCATAAAACTCTTAACATCTCCTGCATTGTTGCATTTACTTGGTCCAAATCTTCCAGTAATTCCAGTTTTCTCCATTTCTCCACATTTTACATTTCAATCATCCTTTTTCAATTTACCATAGAAGTTGTCAATGCCTTCCATCAATGTGTCTATAATTGGTGCATACCTTTCTTGGCATTGATGTCCACTATATGCCCTCCTAATTCTGAAATACATTATCTTGTCATTTATCATGTTATAGGTAAGCACTGATCAATGATGCTTCATTCTTTTGCATAGCCTCATGTCCATAATATATAATATATTGTAATTAAAGAGACCAATTCTAATTCACTTAGCGTATCTACTAAGTTGAGTTATTCCTAAAACATGCAGTTTAGTACATTTCGTTCCTACTTTGAAAATGTCAGATTTCCTTTGGATCCTTTGTACTTTACATTCCATGTTCCGACTTAGTCTATCCTTATAAAATGAGAATACCACTGTCAGTGATCAGGCTTACTTGTAGCATTGATAAAGCCACGTTATCTACTCCGGACCTATTAATGGTTTTTTTTCTCAGTTACGAGAGAAATGTCTTCTAATCTGTTCTTCTTGTAATCTAGAATCAATTCTATCTAAATGTTACAGCCATGTCTATGAAGCTTCCTTGGCAACAATAAAGAAGTGGCTTGCTGTCTTCTGGCATTCGTTTTGGAGTTCCTTCCCTAAATAACAAGTTTTACTTGCCTTCATTCCTACTGAATCAGCCTTACTTTATTCCTCATCCTTCTGATCTTATCAGCAAGGAGATCCTCCTGAAGTTCATGATCATGCTGTCAGGATCACTGAAGCTACTAACACGCCCCGCCCTGCCCGGAGAGTAAAAATGAAAAGCTGTGCAGAGATTTTGCTCAAGGGTGCACAAATGAAGATCTTAGCGGATCAAATAAATTACTTGAGAAAAAGTGAAAATATACACAAATGATTCTAATTTGTTGTCCATTCCTTAAATTAAAAGATGATGTATATAATCCCTAATATATTTCCAATGTATTTTTAAATAAAAACAGTTGAAAATGCTAATAGTGAGAAGCTTTATTCTGGTTTTGTACAAAAGCCAAATACTTTGAAATCCGGCCAGGTGGGAGCTACTTTCTTAGGTGACCTTATATTCTTTTTTTTTTTTTTTACAATATTTACATGGCTCTCATAGTAAGTCTACAATAATAAAAATATGAACCTTTATTTTGAATTACATGGCTGTTTCCTTGAATGTGTAAATGTGTTTCATTTTTTTTCTCTCTCTCAGCACTTACTGCTGCTATAGACAAGAAGAGGGAGAGTCTGTAACTTGTCCCCTTGAAGTCAGTGACAAGAGCGTGGCACAAGCAGTTGATTTGAACATCTTGTTGGAGGAGAATGGTGGAAGGACCAAAGAATCAACTTCCCAGTTGAGTCCTCTGACTCCAATGAAGCTGGAGGAGGTCATGAAAGAAGCTAACCAGCTGGCTATGCAGCTTGAGAAATGTCAGCTTCTGGAAAAGAAGATCAGTTCTGAAACAAAGCTTGAGACAGTTCTAGAACATGAGCTTCTACCCCCAATCAGGTTTTTGTGTGCAGAGACTGAGGATCCCCAGAAGTCTCGGAGAAAGACTTTCAATGTAAAGAACAGCCCTTTGAAACCTCTGCTCCCAATAGTGGAACCAGTTACCTGCTTGGCTCAAGGTTCCCCCAAAGCTCCATCTTCCGAAGGTAAAATTCCTTCTTCCCGCCTGGTGGACTTGCCTAGTGCCAGAAGACATCAAAATACATCTTATGTTTGCAGCACTGATGTTCCCCAAGCTAAGCTCTCTGAACCCAAGGCCTTGATGACAATGACATCCAGCAATAAAAAGGTATGGTGGCCGGACAGAAGCTCATCAATAAGGCATGTAGATTGTGAAGTTTGTGCTTAGGAAACCATTGGTTTTGATTCTGATTTCTTCCTAAGCTTGTGCTTTATTATACTTAGTCAGCCATTCAACACTATTAAGAATTACATCTCTCAAAACCTCAGCAATTGACCTCCTAGACTTCTTAGAATTGTAAAGATAGCAATGTTAGGTTCGCTAACTAAAAATGTTTGTAGATATTTTGTCCACACATATTGCACATATGATAGCTTCTTTTTTTAATCTAATTGCTGTGTAATCCCCCATCTCCACCCCTAAATTTCTGGACTGCTAGAGCTAAAGAACTAAGGGATTTGTTTCTTTTTAGTTTTTTTAAACTGAGATGGTACAGTTGCCGAATCTTTTTCCCATGTTGCAGTAGTTACACAAAGATCCTTTTAAGTAGCTCTGCATGGTGCTTATTAGCATTATCTTCCTATTACCATATAACAAAGATGATGCAATAGTTCATTACATGGATTGTGACAATATGTAGCATTTCTTTACCAAAGTCTCCAAGTACTTTTTGTGGTAATCTATTCACTAGCCCTGTAGAAGACAATTTAGCTCTAATCATTTCCATTTTGCAAAATTGAATCTGCAAATTCAGTATTATGAAAGAAAATTCCCATCCTGATAACTTCTTTCTCTACCCAGCACCTTCTTATTTGAATAACAGAATAACAGAGTTAAAATGGACCTTGGAGGTCTTCGAGTCCACCTGCCTGCTCAAACAGGACACTCTATACCATTTCAGACTAATGGTTGTCCAATTTCTTCTTTAAAACCTTAAGTGATGGAGCATCCCCAAGGCAAGACATTCCACTGATTAATTGTTCTGTCAGGAAATTTCTCCTTATTTTTAGGATGCTTCTCTCTTTGATCAGTTTCCATTCAAGAACAGGGATGGAGCATCCAGAACAAGCTTCTTGTTTTACCTTCAGGTGCTTTGGAGAATAGGTTGACCTCTCTGAGGCAGTCCCTCACATATTGGAATGCTGCTATCATAGCAGTCCTTCTTTTCATTAAACTAGACATATCTAATTCCTATAACCGTTCTTCATATGTTTAGCTTCCGGTCCCCTAATCATCTTTGTTACTCTTCTCTGTACTCTTTCCAGAGTCTTTACCTATTTTAATATCATGGTGACCAAATGCAATATTCCAAATGTGGCCTTACCAAAATATACATTATATTTGAGTTTACATTGCCATAGTTGTCTTATGCTTCAGAAATCACAAGGAAGCCCTACTATTTTAGAAGCATCTTCTGGAGCAGATCAAAATGCATAAAGAATAATAGTTAATGCTCTTAAACAAGAATGTATCTCTGTGTGTAAAATCTAGTATAGTACATATACAGTCATGATCATGGATTCTGGAAATGCTGATGTTTACATTACAGTCAAAATCCTTCAATTTTTGAGAAAGTTATATACATTTAAGAAAGATACTTGTTTCACTTTGCATTAAATATATAGTAAAAGGAGAGATGGGCAAAGATGCCTACTCTTTCAAAACCTTAGGTTTTTGCGCAGAATCTGTGCCAGTCAACTTTAGATTTGTATGAAAGTTGTTAGGAATGCTAATGGCAGGAGTAGCTAAATTGCATTCCCCAAGTAGTTAATTTTGTGGCTTTTGTAGTCCCTTTTATTTTATCAAACAGCTTGCTACGATTTTCACCATTTCAGGGCAGAATACAAACAGAAAATTTTATGTCCTAAAACAGGTATAATATGTTAAACAAACAAACAAAACAACAACAACGACAACTATTTGCCTGCCATTAGAGCCGAGGTGGCGCAGTGGCTAGAGTGCAGTACTGCAAGCTACTTCAGCTGACTGCTAGCTGCAGTTCGGTAGTTCGATTCTCACCGGCTCAAGGTTGACTCAGCCTTCCATCCTTCTGAGCTGGATAAAATGAGGACCAGCTTGTTGGGGACAATAGGCTGACTCTGTAAACCACTTAAAGAGAGCTGTAAAAGCACTATGAAGTGGTATATAAGTCTAAGTGCTAGTGCTATCTTGAGAATGGGTAGGAATGCAAAAGTTGGCTCTACTAGTATATGGCCTTGCCCACAGCATATCATTGCTTCACCCATATATATCTCAGCTTCCCTCTTCTAAATTTGAAATACAGTTCTTGACCATCAAATGTTTCTTATTTTTATATCCACCTTCTACATTACAACACAGTTGTAGAAGAAAGTTATGTGCGTAGTCCATTTTGAAAAAAAATACGTTCTGATAAACATGTTTAGACAACCACTTAAAACTTTGTTCCCTTAAGTTTATGTACTTTTTGGTTCTGTGTAATCTGCCCATTTGTTTTTAACTTAGTCATATGTTTACTGATTTTTTTGCCTTTTAAAAACTGATACTCTGCTTTGAGGACCACACTTCTTCGAATGGAATATGTACCTCCATGTCTTGGACTTTTTTTTCCCCCCATAGAAAATCTGTGTAAAAAGTTTTAGCTAATTTTCTACAGAATAGTAATTCTGTTCAAAAACTGCAGCTGTTTTATTTCTGCTTTAAGCATCAGGCAACCATCAGGAACAACGGGACAGAGAAACGACTCGTCCTCCCCACTACCACCAAAGGCCAGCAGCCATTGCTGTATGTGAAACCTCTCCCTCAAACCAGCAAAAGGAAAATGCAGAGGAAGACAGAAGCTTCTGCTAAAAATAATCCTGATCAAGGCCCACAGGTATTTTCAACAGAAGAGCTGCTGGGAGGGGGGGGGGGTAGAAGAGAAAACTGGGCATATAGTTAAAAATATACACCACTGCATAGAAGCTGTATGCATAGTGACTAACTTTTGCATGGTTCTCCAGGCTGAAAGGGTACTTAGCCTATCTTTTTTTGTATCAATGCAAGATAAGGCTATAAACATCTCAAAAAGCATGCAGGTAAGTTGTATAATTAGCCTTCATGTATATTCCTCCATAGAAGGATGTGTGTGCATGTAGGACCATGTTTGCTTTTCATGCACAACAGAAAAGCTTCTGAATCAGTGGTGGGTTTAGTGGCCTGAGTAGCTGGAACCGGCAGCTACCCAGGTCTGCCACAGCCCCAAACCGGTTCTCTGGGTGGCACCATAGGCACCACCCTCTTGTTTTTTGCTTCTGTGCATGCGCAGAGCAATTTTTATTGTATTGTGCATGTGCACGCAGCACACATGCGGCACGGCCAAGAGCGAACCAGCAGTTGCAACTGCTGGAATCCACCCCTGTTCTGAATCTTATGGAGCACCAGCCATCTTTGTGATAGCATAACACAATATGCTTTCCTCTGGAATCTCACTGTGGATATATTTGCAGGCTTCCTCTAAACAAGGGACAGTGCTTGCTGCACAAGTGAAAAGAAAGCCAAATCCTCAGATGTGTCTCCAGCGAACCAGCCCTATGAAAAAACCTCCAGTTGCTCCAGAAAAGATGGCACCCCTCCAGAAGACAAATGCAAGTAAGTTAAAGGAAATTACTTGTATTTTGCCTTATCCCTTGATCGGGTGTCACGAAAGATTTCACAAATGGTTTGCCATTTTCTGCTTCCTAGGATTGAGTGACTGGCACAAGGTCACTCAGCTGACTTTATGCCGAAAGTGGATTAGAATCCACAATTTGCTATGTGGCAACAAGAGATAAACTAGTTTATAAACAAGTTTTTTTAGCTGTTCAGTCTGGGTCTTTACTAGATTGAAGACTCAAGTGTTATCTACGTGCCACATATTATTGACCCATCATTAATGCCTGATTCTCTAGCTGATAAGCGAACTGGTATCAGTATGAATTCAAATCTTTAGAGCTCACACAGTTTCCCCTTTCACTGTGAGTTGCCTTTGTTTCTTGCTCCATCCCTTGCTTTGTGACTGCTGAGTGGACATAGGACAGGGTCTTAAGTAAAGTACTCTTGAAAATCCATATAAACAATGTATCTTGGCCCTTATACACAACACACCTTTTTACATTTAAAGAATTAAGTAGGATCCAGTCACTATGTCTAGAAACATTTTGCTGATTTATCATTAAATCATTTTTTTCTTTCATCCCAGGTCAAGTGAAAACTATGGGAAGCAACGGCCCCAAAAGACAAGCCACCTCCAAGCCTCGTGGTGGTTCTGGTGAGATTCAAACAAGACACACTCCAAGCCAACTCCCAATGCCAACCAATCATGCTGCTTCTGTTTCAGGCAGATTTACAGTTCCTGGGAAATCCAGCCAGATTAAACCAGTGAGTTCAGAAACATCTGGTGGACAGAGATCCACTAAACCAATCGCTGGAGTTGGGAAGAAAGGTGAGTGAATACACAGGGACACACTAAAGAGTTTTGCAATTCTGTTGAAAAGTTATTGTTAGAAAAACTACACGGAGATAAGATTGTTCTCAGTGTCATTTCAACTATTAAAATGGTAGGCATGTGTTGACCTCAGATTGCCTTCTTGAGTGAGAAACAAGTTTTTAATCTACACATAATATGAAATAAGCCCATCTGGGTCTTGTTTAGATAGTACAGGTAGTCCTCAATTTATAACCCTTCATTTAATGACAGAAGTTACAATGGCACTGAAAACAGTGACTTGTGTCTGTTTTTCACACTTACGACCATTACAGCATCCTCATAGTCATGTGATCAAAATTTGGATGCTTGACAAATTGGCATGTATTTATTATAATTGCACTGTCCCGGGATTATGTGATCGCCATTCTTAACCTTCCCAGAGAGCTTCTGACAAGCAAAGACATTGGGGTTCAGTTAGGGTTGTAAGTTGAGGACTACCTGTGAAACCAAAATACCATAATAGGAGCAATGAGTTATAATCATTACATCATTCCTCATTGCCACAATTCTTTAACATCTTGAAATGCCATGAAATATGTTTGTATCCGTGCCGGATAACGGACTACATAACCTGGTTTATAGGTTATTCACTTAGTGTTTCCTTTAGCAGCACGTACACTAAAATAGGAACAATAGAGAGAAAATTAGCATGATCTATGTACAATTTCTATACTCTGGATGCCAGGACAAACCTGTGTTAAACAGATGCATAGAAAAAGCGTTTGCAATTCCAACCTAGAAAGTCCTTGAATTTGGAAGAAGATCATTTACAGCATGTGGCATACCTGCCCTTGTTTTGACTTGTGGACGAAATAGACTTGATCATAAATCTGGAACGTAACCTGCCAGATTTTTGTTGACGACACTGCTCAATATGTAGAGAGGAAGGTTAATCCTATATCGGATTTGCCATATAAGAATAACACAGGATTAGAGTTTTGGTTGATTTGATTTTCTCTGCTCAGTTTCCATTCAAGAATTGTCTGACCTTTTGGGGAACATAAGCTTACTCTGTATTAGAATTATAAAATAATGAATTAAACACATTTACTTCTCCTATCTATCTATCTATCTATCATCTATCTATCTATCTATCTATCTATCTATCTATCTATCTATCTATCTAT